CGTACCTTTGATAAGGATTGGTGAGTGCACTTCATTACACGCATCCTACCCCTATTTTTTCCATTTTTTGAACCTGGTCATCCACATTGGAAGTACCTCACCTCAGGCTTAGGCAAAATATCCATTCTCCGGTCCAGGACCGCTTTTTAGGACCTTTCTTCCATAGTACACCGACACTTATCAGAAGTTTATTTGAAGTGAGTCGATTACGCATCACGAACGTTTTTCTTCTTATCCTTGGTACTGGATGCTCCACTCCTCCCGAACTACAGTTTCACTGCTAGAATGTAATGATTTGTCGTGCTAATTGTGCCGTTTGTTGTGATCGTATTCTCGAGGCTAAGCAATTTCCCTTCTATGCTCACATTTGTTGGAAAGGAATGTGACGGCGATGAGCAGGAAGTCACGCAGGCGTTGTATCCTCTGCAATTATATGATAATAGTAGGGATATGCTAGCGATACATAATACGATCTCTTGGTAACCACACAGTCCATACACACCGCGATCGGTTTGCTCCTCACCTTCATCTGACATGGCCCGTCCCTACCACCGTTTGAAATGCCTCATCTTGAATTGGTGCCTAAAGTCCATGACGTGCTCTCATTCTTTCTCGCTTTCTACAGAATTAACCAAAATAAATCTCACCAGTGACATTCCTTGCCCCTAGGGAAATAATGACCTGTTTTTTGGATTATGCTTTCATTAGCTTTATACATACAAGCGCTGCAATGCATAAGCACTTGTCATCCTATTTTCCCGCTGGAATTTAATGCTCTCCTTGAATTACCATAATCTCTCTGCCACAGAAGCCCAATACAGCCCTAATTAACAACCAGCCTGAAATCTACTATTCTTGATTGACTTCTTAAAACAAGCTATAAAATGCCGAAATACGAGGTTTGATTTGACATTTATTACCTCCAGAACGAAAAAGTCGTCTACTTTAGAAAAAAAGAGTCTACTCGAATCCATCAGTAGGGATTTACTCGAGGAGTTTTTTTCACATTTGGATAGTATAGAGATGAGCAAGTATTTTGCATATAAGTCCGAAGGCTCCTTTGATGTGGTTGTCACGGAATTGTCACCGTGATCTGCCCTCCAATATCTTGAACTTAGGGCTCGGAGCAAAGAAAGTTGTTACTGCCATTAATCCACGCTGCCTTCAGCGCCTAGACGATCCCAAGGTATCGCCACTTATCAGAAAAACGATCTCCCGATAGGCCAGCCATGATCGGCTCTTGCATACCCAACCAGGAATTCAGGAACTTGGTCTTCTTCACGTGTCATAGCCATGTTAGGACTTTCTGCCATTTTCTGCACCTGATTCTGTGAGCTCTTTCTGCTAGTCCGCATCGGAGCCGATGGACCTCGCGTTATGGAATGGTCTTCCGTAGTCCCACCATTAGCCCGTTCACTAGAACAGGAGGAGGAGGTAGAGTTTGGAGGCTGTTTGAGGTGGTTCAACTCTTTATGATTACGAAACCTTCAGCTCCTTTCTGTGCTAATTTGCTGCCTTAATCACTACTCAAATATTTTCTGGATAGAGACTTTTTGGTATGGGGCTGTCAGTACAAACTACAACTGCTACAATACCATGAAAAGTAAAAATGCGCCTTATGAATTGATTCCCCACCCAAACACACTCACTTTTCTCAAACACAGAAGTCTTTCCAACCACACCCATAGCCAGTTTTAGTGAACTCTTGCATTCAAGTGTGTACAGAACTGAAATCTACCGTGTAGGTCAGCAGGTCCCAATTGCCTGAAATTCGACATATATTTTGTCACCAACATCCCATTTGCATTAGAGTGGTGGCGTTGGACTTAAAGGCAAAGTTTGGGCTCAGACCCACCTAAGAAGCCCTTACCATGGCTAGAAGTGCTGGGCACGCAAGTGCAAAGTTAGCGCCACCTTTCTACATCGAAACCCGTCACCAGGACCCTAGGCGCCATGAACTTCTAACAGACTCCACCAAACATAACATGGTCCGCCCACCGATCGATGTCTTGTCTGCGTCGCTGCGTTGATCTGCTATGCTCTCTCTTCTCGGAATTTCTCTACCACCCTCCGCACTCACATTTATCTTTCGATCTTCTCCACAGCATTGAGCAAAATGCTCGTATTTCCTGTGTATTTCAGGATTTTCTTCCTTTTTTCTCCACTGGCGGTCCACCTCCCATCCCTACTTTCACATTTGAGTGGAATCAACCCATCAATGTAATCCTGATTCTTGCCTTTAATGTAGCAGTTTAGCAATGAAAAAGTCGCTTGCAATTTGGTCTTACCATTAGGTAGCCGACGGTTGGTTGCGACTTATCCAGAAAAGCCATACGTCACTTCAGACTGAATGGATGGAAATGTACCTTCTATACGTGCCTTGAGATGAGGTCAACTATGCTTCCACCAACTGTTGAACAATTCTCTAAGCATACTTATCAAGCCAAGAAGCGCATCGCTAGTGGTCCGCTCTCACAGCTAGAAAAGTGGGACCGACTTCTTAGCGAGTTTGCTCTTTTGCTTTTACACAGCAACACTCCTAAAGTCCCGCTGCGCTTTACGGCCTCATGATCACCTTCGGGTATCCCTTTAGCAATGTATGGAATCATATAAGGGTTAAGCGTCTCCAGGCGCACGTAGAAATGTCACCTCATTTCGGCTGGCCGTGCTGACCTGAAAATCCTTGATGATCAGAGATAACACGGTGCTTTCATAGATGGTATTTGCTTCTCTTATTCTCAGATGAAAGCGTCTTGGTAGGAAAAAAAAGTGAGTAGAAAAGAAAGTCAGAAAGAGGGTGGACAATTAGCCAGCGTTCGAAATCATGTTTTGTTCATTGCTGGAGGCACGGTTACGCGTTAGTGAGCCGTTGCTGGCAGCTGATCCTTGCCCTATGTAGCTCCAAAGTGATCGGTTGTTTCATGTTCGCAGAGACAGGATGGGTTCACTAAGAACTTTTTGAAAGTTTATTCCTGGGCAGAAACGTGGCCCGCTAAATTTTCACATTATAGCCAAAACCACATGACTCCTTTACAGGTGATTACCCGTTACTTTACTTATATTTTACTCGTAGGACAATTTTATACAAATACACTTATTTCACTTTCGATAGAAATGTTTTCTTGGAATTGCGCCGTGGGTATTATCAAAAATTAAATAAAAATGAAATTCATATTGAATGTGACTGAATTGAATTAAAGGTGTAAATAAGTGCCCAGTCGAACTTTCAAGAGTAGGTGTTAGTGCGGTATGATCGATCGGCCTGATTGTCTTGATCTTGATTGTCTATCAGTCCTACACGATGGTGCGGCCGACACGGCATCCAACTGTTGTGCTCACTAGGTAGGTATACAGTTCTTTATCGGTGCTATACAAGTAGGGTGGGCACGCCGCATTTTTTGAACAAAAATGTGTGTAATTGAGACTGCTACCCGCTCCTATACTGTCACGAGAATCGGGGGAATTCGTGAGCCAGGGGGGATGTAGCCCAATCTAAGGGGTTGGGGGTGAGGGCAGTCACCTGACATGTGCGAAAAGCTGGCCGTGCCCACCCAACTTGCTTAGAGCCTCACTTTCTTTTGTCATTATTACCGATTTTCAAGGTTGTTTTGCCTCAGCGAGTACTGAGCGAGAATTGATTAAAAGACGTCTCTTAAACAGTCGACACAGGACGCGCATGCGCAGTCAATTTTCGCTTTGATAGGAGTGGTTTAGTCGGCGTTTAGCTGTACTTTTTTAATGTTAAAAATTGTTTCTCACTGCACCTGGTCCTAGAACTATACCCAAGCTAAAATTTTTTGAAAAAAACTAGTGACATAGTTTGGTAAGAATATCAACAGAAAGATGTGCGAGGAACACGCATTAAATGTCTGTCGTCAAATATTAACATTCCGTTCTGCAAATGGACGTCAGGTCCTAGTGTTCGATGCGCGCCAACCGGCGCTGACACTTGAGCACAACTTATCGCCTATGGTTGAAAGCCGACCAATAAATTCCTGCCGGACTTATAGGGGGGGGGGGCAATAAAAAAAAGACATTTTGCCTCCACTTCCAGATGGATTTAAGCACATTTTACTCAATTCAGACCGAACGGTTCCAACTTATTATTAAAGAGTGCATTCCATTCTATAAGAAAATCTTCATAGTGGCCACCTACGTGGACGGCATCAGAAGAATTAGCCCTGGAAACATGGTGCACTGGTCGAGCTCAATGGGGTCTTCGACTGGTCGAGCGGAACGGGGTCTTCGAAGGATCGTGTACCATAACGACCCTTACTGGAAAGCTAGTTCCGAGGGGATTTGCACAGTGGTAGCTAATGCCTCTAGAAAACTATCCAACATTAAATCGATTCACGAAATTGCGTAAGAGCTTCAGGCTGAAGCTCTTACGGTAGACCTCCTTGAGCCTGACGACGGTGACAGATGACGTCATATTCTGAAGACGGTGAGGGCAGTGAAGGAGAGCCTGCGTTCACTTATAGAGGGAACACTTAGGGAATACTCTGCTGAGGAACTCCCGTCAACGACAGCAATCTCTGCGAAGAAAAAAGAGCCGAAGTCCGACATAGGCAAAATGTCTTTTTTTTTGCCCCCCCCCTGTAGTATCGAAGTAGATAAAAGCCTGATCATATTTGGTTGCAGCTATATGAGTATCTCTTAGACCCATTTACTATGGCTTTTCGCCTTGCCAATTCCTAATGGAAATGCCAAATAGTCCGTACGAAAACACCGCAAGGTTGTCCGCGTATGTGTTCGCCCATTTCTAGCAGGCTGTCTCACGTACCGGCACCCATAGGGACAACGCATCACCAGTCTCTTGAACCGGGCATAGGGGTGTGGCTGTCCTCGGAGGCGCACTTTGCATTCGATCTTTCCTCGCAATTCATTCCAGAATCATCTAGTCATCTAAGATCACACGCTGAATATTCGGCGCGTGAAAGAGAATCGGGGTAGCTGCTGGCGTTCACCATCAGATTTTTTTTTGCTTTTTTTTTGTTAAGCGCTGATTTGTTTTTGCATCGTCCTCATATAATCGTATGTCTCGTGATTGAAGCTTCGAGCAAAGTGAAGCGGGACAAGGGAGGCGCCGTCCACACTGTATCAAGAGGTTAATCATAGCGCAGTGGTAGACTAGCGGTGTTACTATGGTCGGTGGCGGTTGTTATTGAGTATCGTACAGTATTTTTCACATAAGGTGTGTCTGAAAGTGACTCTCTCTTATTTTTTTTACGATGTATAGGCGGTTTATTTGCGCTCAGTTAGCTAGCCCATTGATACAACTTCCGACAAAAGCATTTCAATTCAGCCCCGATTTAATTTTTTAGTATGCTCTATAATTTTTTACCCAAACGAAATGCTTCCCACTTGGCTTCAAAATAGAAGACAAGTATTTGAAACAGGCAATTTCTCAACTCTTTCTGCTTTGAATTCTGCACAATATTACTGCTTTCCATATTCTACCTTTAGTGCTAAATTTTGCTCTGAACCGTGTTAAAGCTAGTGCTCTGCTTGAAATGAATCACTAGGCCAAATGTGAATTTCGGCTTTTGCGTGCTCATAAATAACATATGTAGTTATCAAAATATATCAAAAACAGACGGATGGTACAGAATATTATGTGGTTATTTAAACGAGACCATGGTACGGCCACTTATGGATAATATAATAATTTGGTTTTTTGCAGTTCCCCCCTTCTGGATGAAGCTTTTACCTATTAGAACAGTTCGTTAGATGGAATATTAATGACATTTTTTATACCTTATTATCATTGCACTTTGTTGTTTACCCGTAGCATTCTTATGGTAAGTTTCATTGAAGGCAGTGTTTATGACAGGTAAGAAGGGTCTAGAGGGACGTGGTACACTACCAGGAAAGGCATTCAACTTCCCATGGAACTTTGAGATGAGACCCAGATATATCGATAGAGCTTCAAACGCTGATTACAAATATGGAAACTAAAACTGCAAAATGAACCTGCCAAGGAAGTTGTGAGCAGTCAAAGCTTCGTGGATCCGGTTTGTACTTCTATGTGTCTGTCTTTCCTGTGCAGGCTCTTTTATGTTATATTCTTCCGTCTCCCCTTACTCTTGTTGTGATCTTATCCCGTGAGCAGCAAAGTTGGCTGGATCGGGTAAGAGTGAACATTTACACTAGCCTTGGGCTTTTCAAAGTCGTCGTGGAGTAGTGGTAGTGCTCTCGGAATTTGCGCTCTGACGGGAGGAGAGCTTATGACCTCCAGGGTGAATAGCGAGGGCACCACCACTGCTCCGCGGTGACTATGAAAGCCCGGAGGCTAGTGTAATGCTTTACTTCCAGCCAACTTTGACTGCTCACAACTTCCTTGGCAGGTTCATTTTGCAGTTTTAGTTTCCATATTTGTAATCAGCGTTTGAAGCTCTATCGATATATCTGGGTCTCATCTCAAAGTTCCATGGGAAGTTGAATGCCTTTCCTGGTCAGTGATACTGGTAAAAAGCGGAGAAACCGCCAGACACAGAACGGGACCCTCTTTCTTGGCCGTAGGGTTCCACTAATGAACAGGTGGAAGCTCAGAAAGCGGATGTGTGAACAAGCTCTTCGCGATGCGTGGTGGCACCATGCCAAGCCACGCTGCTGGCAACGCAGTGGCGTCCAAATCACCAAGTAAACTAGTGAGGGATCGTTTTTGGTGGTTTCGAAGTCCTGCTCTGCAACAAGCGCACCTTTCGTCGTGAGAAGCACTTCACCTTGCTGCCCTGGCAGCCAAGTAGCTGATTCGTGTGGTGCATATGCTTCCCGTTAACGCTCCCTCTTTGTCGTAATCGCTGCCTTTAAGGTCATGTCGCACAATCACAACCTCATGCTCTAAGTTTAAGTCCTCTTATTTAAAACTCCGCAGTTTCGTTGTTTTGTGATTTTTCACTTCTACCTCGACGTCGTTGGGGTGAAGATCAATCAGACCAAGTTTTCAAATGAACCGTCGTCTGAGGGCCAGAGCTCGAGAATGGCACACCGCTGTCCACGGTCACTCCACCAGACACTCATATTCTGCCAATAGTCACTGATTCTATGGTCACTGATTTTAGTAATTTGAACCATTAGGCTTTAACTAATACCCCTCCCAACGCCGCACGCATTCGATACATATATTTACTTACGATCGCGGTGGCATCCGTATTAGTCTGTAGGAAAAGCGGGAGGTGGCCGATGTGGAAGCCAGGTTTTCATATTCCAAAAAAGTTCGCTGTCAGTTAATCGACTCCCTAAGCCGTCATCGTTCAAGAGAAGCCATTGAGAGACCAATAAATATTTAAAAATAAAAAGATAAATATTTTTGTTTCAAACATCTCTTTTTACCAAATCACAATGTCCATCTCATGGTTAGCAGAAAGTCATAAAAGCTACTCGACCCCAGAAGATTTATGAAGAGAGAGATTAGAGCTAATATCAAGGTTTCTTCATAATTACTAGGAATTTATGTCGATTGCATTGCTCTACGATCTACGATCAGTGTTACACAGCTTCAGTTAGAGAAATGACACCTTTAAAACCTACGCGAAACGGATAATTGTACGCTTGAGCAGCTTCTCATCTCTATTAGGTGGCTACTTTTTGCTTCAAATAGTAATTCATCAAGATTAGTGATTCTCGATTAAATCTCTAGAAAGTAGCATTCGTCTACTTTCCTCTCCAAAAAAATTACAAGGACCATTAATATTATTGACCAACGACTTTTATTATGCTTAACTAATGTGGTTCAATGCCCAAGCAATGTAAAAGCTGTAGCACTCTAATCGCTATAACTTGGTTGAGTAGTTTGGTGGCAGCAAAAAATATGCCCGAATAAAAAAAGTCGTATTTTCGGGGCAGTTTCACGTCATGTCACAATTTCCATAATCATATACGTAGAACTGGGCCACCCCCGTCGTCATTCGAGTCCAAAATATATTATTTACCCGCCCTATCATATTGTCAATGAGGAACCGCTTCATAAAAATACAGTAGCGATCAAAGTATTCGCCGACACGGTTCTTCGTGCTTTTTTTGCTAGAAAAAATCAATGGCAACTTCGAAAATTTCATTTCTCCTGAATATCCTCATTCTTCAAAACTTGTTGATTTGAAATCACTAGGGAACAAAGTATATCGTTCTTTCGAGGGTGTTGCTATCGGGAAAAAATAATGCAATAAAAATCGTTCCGGCGGACAGTTTCAACCGCTTCTGTATATTGGG